CTGGAGTGAGCTACTCTGTGCTCTCACTCCCACGGGAATGCAGCCATTACCGGTGAGGGGCTGATTCATGCCTTCACCGTCCACCTCACTTCACTGTTCTTGTCCCTGTTCCTTCTTTCTGTTTATCCTGTGCTTAGGAGCTAGAGGGATCGGCCTGAATTCCACTCTGTCCTGTGACTTCCCTGCTTAGAGCCCTCCATGGTTCCCAACCACCCAGGAGAAATGCCAGCTTCCCACCCGGGTGTACAAGACTCTGCAGGATCTGTTCCCTGCCTGTTCTCTGACTTCATCTCTTCCACTCTCCCCTCATTCATGATGCTCAGGCCATACAACCTTCCTTCTACTTTCTCTCCAGATGTGCCATTATACATGCTGGTCCTTCTGCCTGGAACACTATCTCTCCCTCGGATACCCTCTTTTCCCTTACCCCTTTTGGAAGAAAAGTACAGGTGTTAAAAGCGTAGTTTTAAATTTGGAACCGGGTGGCCTGGATTGAAATCTTGATTTAATCTTTTATCAATTAACTATCCTTCTGTACTTCTCTGGACCTCCATTTCCTGATCTAGGAAATGGGCTTGCCTTCAGGATTAATGAGATAATGCATGTAAAGGTGGCTGGGAGAGTCACAATTTCTTGGCCTCACGCCCTCTCTGACCAGAACTCCCCTAGCTCAATAGAGCTGGCAGCATCCCAGCCACCCCTGCTTTCAAGAAACTTCCTCCGCCCACAGAAGCCTGAATGCACCCCTTGTGCTGCCTGAGTCATCCTGCCGCAGTTAGCCGCCCCCTGAAGAAAGACTCCTCTCCAGTGTGGGGACTAAGGCATGGCACCCCTCCCCCAGGCTTCTCTTTCTTCCTCTGTAAAATAGGGATGAGAACAGCCTCTGCCTCACCAGGTGGTTGAGGGCTTGCTGTGAGCTAGTTATGGGTAAAGCATAGAGCCCAGGCCCTGGCACAAGGCAGGTATCCATGAAGGGGAAGAGGCGGAGGAGGGCCTTGAGGGGAGGGTGGGATGGTGCCAAGTGGGTGTCTCCCCCAGGATGACAGGCTTGCACAGGTGCCCGGGCCCCACAAGTGAACATTCATGATTGCCTGGTTGGCTGAGAGTGTCATGCTTCAGAAGAACGTTTCCTTGAAGCAGCCTACTTCAGGGCAGGTCAGCTTGGGCAGTGCCAACACCAAGCCTCCAGCCAAGGAGCTGCCAGCATCTCAGCTTTGTCCACTCACTACTGAGACCTGGCTGAACTGAGCCTAGCTGGGCTTCCAGGAGTTCCCACCAGTAGGAGCTCCCACCCAAAAGAACGAGGTCACTGGCAGCTTTTGAACCAGCTGGGCACTGGCTGGAGAGGCTGGGTAAGAAATCTATTTCTAAAGGCTATGTTGGGGCCAAGGCAGGGTGAGGGGTGCTCCACTGCCTGGATTTCCCTGGGTTGCTTACTTAGGTATCTCTGTGAGTCTAACTCCACTTCCCATCCTAGCCTTCTTCCGTTGACCAGCATTGTAAGAGCTTCCAAGTGTGAACACTGCTTGACCCCTGAGAGGTCAGTAGTGGCACTGAGGTAGCCTGAGTTCCTGTCCTGCAGGGGAAATAGAGCTAGAATTCTGACCCCCAAGTGCAGGCTGGCAGCTGGAACTGGATGGCTCTGGACTTGCCCAGGGAGGTGATGTTCAGACCTTCCCGTTTTAATTACAATGAAGTATTAACATGAACAATGTAGGGGGAAAGGTGGTTATGGGAGCACACAGGGTAGTGAGATCCCAGAGAGGCTCCCAGAGGAAGTGGCGTCTATGGTGAGATCTGAAGGATGAGGATGTGGGAGTCAAAGGAATGTTCCAGGTAGAGGGAACAGCTTTTGCAGAAGTGTGAAGGTGAGTGACATATGGTGCCTCTGAACACCCCATAGACATTCACATGGTCTGGACAGAGTGTGGGTGTGGAGGTGGGGATGAGAGTTGAGATCAAGCAAGTAGGAAGGCAAGATCACTAAGGGTTTGAACGTTAGGCCAAGGGGTTGGTCTGCCTGGGTGGGGCCTTGTCTGTGTAGGGTATCTGTGACACGTCCATGCTCTGTATGTATCTGTGAGCACATATGTCTCCATGTGTCTCTGTGGCCCTGCATGTCCTTGGGCACACATGCAGGCTGCAAGAACAACATCCACTTGTCCCAGCCCAGAGGAAGCCCTTCTCGTATATCCTCATGCCCTGCCAAGCCTCCAGGTGCTGGAGTTGGAGGTGTTTCCAGCAAGGCTTCAGCCAGGCTACATGGGGACCTCAACCAGCCTCTCGGCTTGCCCATCCACAGGCCATGCTGGTAGCAGGCCACACTGGCTAGGTTCTGAGGTTGGAGGAGGCCTAGAGTAGAGCTTGCAGCAAGGCCACATCATGACTGTGCCCAGCCATCTGGCTTGTCTGCCCGCAGGTCCATGCTGGCAGCAAGGCTGCATTGGCTGCCCTGTGTCCAGGAGACCTGATCCAGGCCATCAATGGTGAGAGCACAGAGCTCATGACACACCTGGAGGCACAGAACCGCATCAAGGGCTGCCACGATCACCTCACGCTGTCTGTGAGCAGGTATGCACAGGTGGGCTGGGCTGGGAGGATGTCGGGATGAGGTGGGCAGTTATGGGCAGCCAGCATCTTGGGTGAGCGCAGCTTCACACAGCTCAGCTCCTGGGCACCCCATCCAGGAAGAGTCCCAAGGAGTAATACTTTCATGGGGGCCCGGCAGACACTGTTTAGAGCTGTAGCTTAAGAAGGGAAGAAATCCCCTTTTAACTTAGACTAGAAGTGTGTTGGGGCACTTACGGCAAGTGTTGCAGGCAACTGAAATAGGACCTTGAATAGTCTCTGGGACATTTGTTTCAGTCCTTTCCCCTCCCCTGAGTGACCAGTGTGATGACCGTTTCAAAATAGTTTCTTGTGCAACACCTCATTTAACCCTCATTTACCAACTTAAAAAAGGTAAAACTTAGTGTAGTCCCCACTTCACAGATGAGACAAGTGAGGCTCAGAAAGGTTAGAAGGTGCTTAAAGTCACATAGAGAGGGAGTGGGGTAGCAAAATTTGACCTCAGGGCTCTCTCCTAAGACTACAGACCCTTTACTTGGCTGCTGACCACTCCTACCAGCCCCACAGCTGCCCTGCCACAGCCATCCCCACGGTGGCCCACACTCTGCCCTGGTTAAATACGGATTTGGGAAAAGTTCGTGCTATGGACTGTGTAATGCTGTGCAGCCGATCAAGAAGGGAGGACAGGGGGTTGCCAAGCCCCATCTGTGCCCCATAAATGGTCCTGGGATGGAAGGTCCACTGGGGGTGGGGGTAGGGGGACCCAGCCTTGCTCAGGTCCTGGGTCTTTACTCTGAAAAGCAGTTGGACTAAGCCTGGCTGAGTGGGGTCTCCCCACTCCCCTGCCCACCTCGATCCACAGAAGTCAGGCATAACTTATCAGCTCTGCCATGTTCACTGCTGATGGGGACTTCCATGACCACCTGTGGAAGTGTGTGGGCAAAGCCTCCCCAAACCACAACACAGCTAACCATGCCTCTGAGCTGGCAGGGTGGGAGGTGAGCCATTGGCTTGGAGCCATTAAACATAGTGGAAAGGCCTGTGAGGTCGCCCCTGTTTGTGCTTGGCCCATGGCCAGATCGGGGTTGGGGTCAGGGCCCCTGGCTGTGCCCGCGGCACTGAGTGGGCCCAGCTGCAAGTCCAGGACCTTGTATGCTCTACCTGGCACATGGTGAGGATGCTCCATCTTTGGAGTTCAGCAAAGCTGGTCCTCATCCAGCCTCTGGAGCCTTAGGTGCCCAGATGACCTCTATGAGCCCGGGTTTCCTTTCTCATAAATGGATCACATTCATCACCCTCCTCCAGACTGAGATACAGGCTGGATGGGGGAAATGTCAGCACTGCTCTGCCCATGAGTGGCCTCGGAAGCCTCCCCGGCTTGGCTGGGATCCTGGCCTCTGACTCACCTCCAGCCTTGTCTCTGTGTGACTGAACAAGGGCAGCCCTAGTGGTAGTGGAGTAGTGGGGAGGAGTGCCTCAGAGGGGGCCTGAGTCAGGAGCTTCCCAGAGTGTATGATGTCAGGGGAGGGTGGTGGGGTGGAGGTCCCCCTCCTTCTTTCCTTCCTTCCTTCCCCGGTCCTTTGTTCCAAACCAGGCATGGATGGAGCCAGAGGTCCACTGACCTGTTCCACTCTGGCCATTTCAGCCCCAAAATGTCACTGGCCATGGAGCAGATGAGAGCACATTCTCTACTATTACAGAGCTGGGTTGAGAATTAGGCTGTGCTGACACATAAAGTTACCCATAAAAGAGAGAGAGGGAGAGAGAACTCTGCTGTGCTCCAGCAAGTGATTTAATGTCTCGAGCCCATAACTTCCTCAACCAAAAATAGGGACCATCCTGTGATCTGGACACTGAGTGATGATGATGTACCAGGCCTGCTCAGTCAGAGTGAAAACCTGAGTCCTGCCCTGCAGCCCCCATCTCCAACCCTCACGCATGCAAACTGTGGGGAATCAAGACATGAGGGCCACCTTGACCCTCTGAGCCAGCATTTCTTCTACTGGACACTTTCCCACCTGCAAGCTTTCTGACTCTGCTCCCTATCTTGCCTGCTATGCCAGGACCTATGCCTGGGCCCAAAAGACACTCCCCTGCCCCTGCGACACACACCCACACAGCAAGGGCGCTGCACAGAATCAGCCTGTTGAGTTGGCTGGAGTGAGCTACTCTGTGCTCTCACTCCCACGGTGACCAGCTTCCCTACCTGCCCTCTTGTGTACAGCGAGCTCTAATCCCCCCACAGACTTCCCCATAGAATGAAAAGTGTATCAAAGGCCCAGCTTCCCCAATGGGCTTGTTTTGTTTTGAGCCCAAAACCAGGTATCCAACAATCCAAGCAAAATCACACTTCCTGGGCATGTTCTATAGGTCCAGGACCTTCCTGACATCAACTTCAACACTGAGGCCACTGATGGAGTCCCTGTTGTCCATCACATGTGGCCCAAGGTACCTTTGCACAGCCTACTCTTTGCCTGTCATTTTGTTTAAAGAGCCCAGACTGTGATGGGGGTTGACGCATGATTAAGCCTTTCATTCTGATCTGATGCATTGGGCCACATTAATGGCTCTGGGTACTTTGTGCCCTTTGACCCTTAGACATCAGGCTTTTACTGCTCTTCTGGGCAGAGCTTCAGGGAAGTTTAAGGCCAAATAGCCACACAAGATGTCCCAGCTTTATCCAAGAGAAGCTCTGAGTAGGCAGAGGCCACAGTTAAAGCTGTGAGTTAGGGTAGCCACTTGGGAGCCTGCTTGAGGGGGCTAGAGACAGGGACTATGGGGCTGGTGTTGCCCTGGAGTAGCAGAGCTCTAATACGGAAGGCCTGGAGTAGAGAGGTAGCCTCCAAGGGACTAAGGAATGGGCAGAGGCAAGGAAGTGCAGAGTGAGTATGGACCATAGGTGTAGACAGATTATTAAAACCCTCAACTGAAGGGGCAGAAGTGGCAGGGGTAAGCTACTATGTCAGTAGTGAGACCTCGAGAAGCCTCAGGAGGCTTCGTTGGGTGAGTTGGAGGACATTATTCCCCTTTGGTCTAACCAGCCTCACTTCACACGCACCCACCAGTCCAGGGTCCATGCCCCTTCCTGGCCTGCCTTCTCACAGGGCTACTGAGTGACAGGGCTGGGCCCTAGGCATGTAGCCTCTCGGCCTGCCTGCCCTGCCTATGGCAGGTTTACGATGTTTTTCTCCCTCCTGAGTGGTGTTTGGCTTTTGGTTTCTATGGCGAAGCAGGAATTTCCTAATGGCCTGTTTCCCATCTGGGCTGGGCAGACTCAGTGATGACTCTGCCGGCGGCAGCAGCAGGAGGAAAGACACACCCCTCGGAGCCTCCATTCCACCTACCCCGGAGCTGATGGACGCCTGACCCCACACCCCCGCAGAGGCATCTACGGATGCCCAGAGGATGAGTGGATAGGCTTCTAGCTGGTCAATGTGTGAGGCCTGACTTGCAGTGCTGTAAGCTGGGCCTCTTTGAACTGAGCTTCTGTAGGCCACGAAGAGGGTGGAAGATTAGGGAAGCCACAGGGCTTGTCCTGCAACCTCTCCAGGAACAGACCAGAGAGGGACTGGGCAGCTGATGGGGACAGAATCATATAGCCCTGCCCCAGGAGGATGGCAGCTAGAGTTGTGGCTCATTGCCACAACAGTCACCATTGTGGTACAGGGGAAAGCACTGGAGTGGTGTCCTTCTACCTGCAGGGCACAGCCCAGAGCCCAGCCCCTCTTGATCCTGGCTCCCAGGCATGGTGGCCTTGGTAGGAGACATATCTGACCATCACAATTTCTGCCACAGGCCTGAGGGCAGGAGCTGGCCCAGTGCCCCTGATGACAGCAAGGCTCAAGCACACAGGACCCACATCGACCCTGAGATCCAGGTATGTACAGACACTGCCTGGCCTGGCCTGGCTCAGAGTGAGCCCAAGGCAGAGGGGCCAGCATGCAGGTTCACCTGCACTGAGTGTCCTCACTGGGGCTCTCAGATACCCAAGACAAAGACTGAAGCAGAAATTTTCTCTGGACCATGCCATACCCCATCCCATGTTCCTCAGATTATGAGCACCTGCGTGGCTCTGTCTCTGCTCCAGGCAATCCTGGATTCTGGACCAAGGTGCCTATGATGTCCAGGAGCTGGGCTAGGCCTTGGTTTGCGGCTACCACACAGCCAGCTGGAGTTCACTGTGGTGCCCAGTAATGCCAGACCATTAAGAAGTCACTGTGCTTATAGCAGGGGAGGTTGGTGGCAGTCTCAGGCTGTGGAGTGACCTCAGGCTATGGGACACTCCTCTGGGTGCCCTCTCCAAGCCTGAAGTTCTCTCCTGGTCATCCTGTGGTGCTTCTAGCAGAACTCAAGCTGCAGGCCTGTTTGCCCAGTCACCTTTCTGTATATGATAAGAGTCATATCTCTGGTCCTGTCCTCAAGAATAGTGAGGGGATCAGGCTGTTCTAGGGTCTTGTTTTACCATGGCATGAGGAGTAGCCAAGTGGGGATGGCTGAGGTATCCAGAGCCATCACTGGGCCACAGAATTTGGGCAAGGAGACTGGGATGGTCTGTGATGGAGCCAGAACCATGGGACCCAGCATGTGGGACCATTGCCTCCTGAGCCTGCCTTTGTCCACCCTCTCAACATGGAAGAAAAGGGGCCAAGGCAAGGAGAGGCTTCACTGAACCAGAGGGAAGGATGTGCCTCAGCTTCTCCCTCACCATCTACCCCAATCCCATCTTGCTCTATTCCCTACCCTGCCTGGCTGGCATCTCTGAAGCCAGATGCTTACCACCTTCCAGACAGTGCCCATTCTGGCAGGGGAAAGGGACTTAGAAGTTCTGGGCTAGGGGAAGCCAGGGGCCAAAGGAGCCCAGAGTAGTCACATGACTCAGACAAGGAGTCAAAGAGGGCTTCCTGGAGGAAGGGGTATTGAAGCCAAGACCTGAAGGCCTAGGAATGGTAAGGCAGGCAAAGGGGTATAGGGAGAGGAAGTGTGGCCCAGAGGTGAGGTGTTGCACCACAGGTTCAGAGAAAAGAAAGGTCCAGGGGAAGGGAGGGCAAGGTGGGAGGAGTGAGAGGACAGAGGTGAGAGATAAAGTGGTGGGGCAGGACCACAGAAAGGTTCTTGGGCTTCTCTATCCTGGACCTCAGCTGTTCTTACAGGGATCCACGGCCACATCTGTGTCTCAGAAGCTTGCTCTGGTGGCCCTATGGACCCCAGGCCTTAGGGGCAGGGGTACATGTTGGCATAGACAAATGAGCCAGGCTTGCCATGGGCCAGGCAGAGGGGAGCAGCATAGTGCAGGCCCCAAGCTCATGCATGAGGCCCAGCATCCCTCAGAGGCAGCAGTGCCAGGATGGATATGACGGGGTGGGGAGGGGGTTCAGTCTTCCAGGAGAGGTTCGGGGCCGGTGGGCCTGGGAGGCTGGCGACTGTAGAGCAGCTCCCCCTGCCCCCACACTTATTCTCATTGACTCCCTTGAAGACCAGGCTGCCAGTGGCTCACACTGGAGAAGGAGGGAGTTTCCATAAGCACCAGGGCAGCCCCTCAGCTGCTGCCCCACTTTTGTACTTAAAAGGTCATGGACTCCATGGGTGGTGACAAAAACACTCCCACCCTGCCCCTGCAGGGCTGAGTCCTTGCTAACACAGACACAGGGCCCATTGTCCCCATGCTGCTCCCACCCTCTGCCTGAGTGGGGGTGTTGGGGAGGGGGTGGAGCTAGCTGGAGCCATTGAGGAGAAGGAAACCACAGTTGGCCCTAGGACCAGCACAAGGTGCCCTGGCACACATCCCCGAGTGGGATGGGACAGGGCCAGCTGGAACTTCAGGCCCACCTTCCCTGTGGGGTCATAGGAGAACCTCCTTCTCTCAGGCCTCTTGTGGGAACACAGGAGGTACTTGGCCTAGCCCCGGGTGGAGGAAGGATGGTAATAAGTCAGGGTTTTCTGGAGGGAATGGCAATTATGCTGAGAACCAGGTGATAGGGAGAAGCAAGTCAGGTGGAGCAGGCAGTCCTTGCACACTCAGCCTGTTCTCCCCAGACCAGCAGAGAGCTAGAACTGAGCCTCTAGGAGGTGGCACCTGCTCATCTGGACTCAGCGCCTGCCTCCAAGTTGAGTGTCCCAAAGCAGGTAGTTACCCCCATCCTGCTGAAAAATCCACTGAGGCTTCAACAACCAAGTGGGCAGCAGGCTGGTTCTCAGAGCAGAGGAGCATATGGTACGAGGTGCACCACCCACAGAGGGGGAAAATCCAGGACTGGGGGCCCAGGAATTCCCCTGACAGCCATTCATCCAATGAGTATGTGCTTTGTGCCAGGCACTGTGCAATTGTCTTATTTCGTCTCCACAAGGAACCTGATGTGGAAAGCATCACATTCCCCAGCTCATAGATAAAGAAACAGGTTCAGAGAGGTGAAGTGACTTGCCCAGTTAGGGGATAACCCTGGGACTCAAAATAAAACTGAGGTAGCCATGTGTGTCCTAACCACAGAGTTCAGGCCTAGAGAGGCAACTGCATGGGTGGCCGTGGGAGGGACAATGGCTCTGTTGCCCTGCAGTGGACCCCTCCACCCTGCTGGGTAGGGGTGAGTGAGGGCCTCCTTCCTCCCAGTCCCAGTCCCTCCAACTCCTCCCTCCCACCAAAACCTCCGCCCAGAGGCCCAGCCCCACCCCCACTGGCCACAGCCCATCTGGTCCCCATTAGAGGCCAGCCCTGCCTGCGTGCCTGCCCGACAGACACATGTGTGAGAGCGCTCAGGTTTCTCAGGGGTTTTTGTTGGGCCTGATGTGAATAAGGGTTTTCCTGTTGCTGCTGCATTGATGGGGGCCACCTGGGCAGTAAGACCCTCCTGTTTGTCTGTTGGGGTGGGGGAAATGGAGGAGGGCCCACCCAACTGCTGGTCTGCCTGTTCCCCAGGTTCCCACCATGCAAAAAGTAGGGGACAGTCAGGGTAGAACCCCGCAGGCTCAACTATGCGTCAGAGCTGCCTAAGTCCAAACCAGGGCTCTTCCCACTACGATAGGCATGTTTTCCTGTCCACACTGCGCTCTGTGTCCACACTGTAGAGCAGAGGAGGTTTACATGTCACTCCCAGGCTGAGGCTAAGACCTACCCCATGGCCTGGACTCAGAAGTCATCCTAAAATCATGCTGCTCTGGCTGCTAGCCCAGTCTCAGCCATGGAGGCCACCATGGCCATTCCCAGGGTGACCAGTGCTGACTCCAAGTCTCTGTAACCATGTGCGTGTGGTTAGTTTTATGTAGGAAGATTGGCAGGTGCATATGTGTTGTCCTTATGCATGTGTGTGTGTCTTTAAAACATACTTGCGAGAGTCTGCATGCCCCTGTTTACATTGCTGTGGGTGTGCTTGTGTGCACTTGCAAGCTGGGAACAGCACAGCTCTGGACTCTGCAGGGACAAAGATCCCCAGTCCCCACTCAGACCCACACACACAGAGATACTGCCCTCTCCTCATGGCTGAGGGGGCAGGTTCAGGACACCCCCCAAAATGTTTCAGCCATGGGCACCAGGCTGGCTGTGGGGTAGTAGGGCAGAGAGCCTTGAGCCCTAGCCTGGTCTCTGCCCTTCATCTGCTGTGCCTGCAGAAGGCTACTCATTGTGGCCTGGAAAGCAGGAAATAGGGGACAGGTGTAGGCCCAGAAGGGGCTGACCTGACAATGGCACTCTTGAGCCTCAGCCTGCCCAAAGGGCCTTGGACACATGACAGTCAAGGACCCTTCCTGGCTGTAGGACAAGAGTTACCTTTTTTAGTTCCCAGCCGTGGGCCCACCCAGTACCCGCCACAGTTCAGGCAGGTGAGAAGGCTTGGCACCAGGGCCACTTCTGCCAGGAGGCCATATACCCTGCTGTAGCCACACTGACTTTAGGCTTCTTGGGATAGGCCTGCCCCAGTACTATCCCTTCATGAGTGGTGGTGGGCAGAACCACTGCAGGGCTCAGAAGCTCAGGCTGAGTCTCAGCTGCTCAGGTTTTTGTGTCTGACTTTCCAAGGACATTTCTCATTTCTGCAGGGGCAGAACCAGTCCCCAGGCCCAGTCCTACCCTAGAAATCCCTTCCCTGACTGAGCACCACGGGCCAGAGGTGCCAGAGCAGAGGTAGCCAGCTGGCATCCACCACCTGGCACAGCACAGCAAGGTGGAGGTGGGATGAACAAGGAATGGCCAGAGGCCAGAGGGTCTCCCAGTGCCTTAGGCCTCTCTCTTATAGGATGGCAGTCCAATAACCAGCAGGCGGCCCTCAGGCACCGGGACTGGGCCAGAAGATGGCAGACCAAGCCTGGGATCTCCATATGGACAACCCCCTCGCTTTCCAGTCCCTCACAATGGCAGCAGCGAGGCCACCCTGCCAGCCCAGATGAGCACCCTGCATGTGTCTCCACCCCCCAGGTAGCACAGAGATGCCTTCGGTGCCATGCCCAGAGCCCATCTTAACCCTTGATCCCTCAAATCTCACCCAGTCCCATCCTGACCCCTGACACTTGATCCTTGGGTCTCAGCTGGTTGCATTCTGACTCATAAGCCTCACCAGACCTGAGTCCACAGAGTGAAGGCTGGAACTGCATCCCTTCCTCCTCTACTTCCTTCTCCCTCCCAGTGCTGACCCAGCCAGAGGCCTCCCACGGAGCCGGGACTGCAGAGTCGACCTGGGCTCCGAGGTGTACAGGATGCTGCGGGAGCCGGCCGAGTCCGTGGCTGCGGAGCCCAAGCAGTCAGGCTCCTTCCGCTACTTGCAGGGCATGCTAGAGGCCGGCGAGGGTGGTAAGACGCCTGCCACCTGTCCCCACTTGCCTTCCCACTCCCTGCAGTGCCCAGGTTGCCCCCTAGCGACCCCACATCCCTCCTCCCAGTCACCTGCCCTCCTCGGTCTCTGCGGCCCGGTCCCACACCCTTGCTACACCCTTGCTACGCCCTCGTTTCGTGATTCCCACTCCACCCCCTGTCGCTGCCCCTCACCCCACGCCCGCCAAACCCATTCCCCAGTCTCGGTGCCGATGGCCCATCCAGCGCCCAACCAAACACCCCGCAGAAATGGAGTTCTGACCTCCTTACCCCGTTCATACCACCTACGCTCCGGGTTTCAGGGGAGCGGCCCGGGCCTGGCGGACCCCGGAACCTCAAGCCCACGGCCAGCAAGCTGGGCTCTCCGTTGAGCGGCCTGCAGGGGCTGCCCGAGTGCACGCGCTGCGGCCACGGCATCGTGTGAGTACCCGCCCCCCGCTGCCCTTCCCGGACCCCAGCCCTCCAGGGCCCTGGATGCGGGCGCAGTCGCGAACCCGTCAGTCACTCGACGCTGTCTTCCCCGCATCAGGGGCACCATCGTCAAGGCGCGGGACAAGCTCTACCATCCCGAGTGCTTCATGTGCAGCGACTGCGGCCTGAACCTCAAGCAACGTGGTTACTTCTTTCTGGATGAGCGACTTTACTGTGAGAGCCACGCCAAGGCACGCGTGAAGCCGCCCGAGGGCTACGACGTGGTGGCGGTGTACCCCAACGCCAAGGTGGAACTCGTCTGAGCTGGGCCCCTGCTCCCGCCCCTGCTTCTTAAGGTCCCTACTCGGCCGGTGTAAATATGTTTCGCCCTGTCCCTCTAATAAAGTTCCTCTGCTCCACCTTGAACCTGTCACCTGGCCTGCCACCCTGCTGCGTAGGCCATGCATGGCTCCCGAGTGCAGTAGCATATGCTCAGATGCCAGGAATGTCCTAGGCTCTGGGTGCAGTGGTGAGCAGGATGGGTACTATGCTGCCCTGAAGGGGGCCACAGCCTGGGTGGAAGGCAGACCTGAATCACAACGGGGCAGCTCTAGTAATACGAACGTGAGGTCTAGGATGCTGCGTGCGGCGCGACGACAGGAGGTATGACCTGGGTGGGGTCAGGGAAGGTGTTAACTGAGAACTAAGAGATGAGGGAGGCACGAACTCTACACGGGTGAGGGGTGGAAGGTGTGCAAAGGTGAGCGGGGGGTGAGAAAGGCCCCTGTGGCCATCATCGACACTAGCGGGGTGGGGGTGGGGGTGCTGGCAGCCTCTGGAGCGATCGCTTCCCTGGAGAGCGTGATTGAGCGTGGAGATCACCTGGGCCGCCGCGGGCGGTCTGCACTTCCTGGCATTCTCTCTTCCAGGTTTCTTTCACCCAGGAGCACTTTATTCTACCCGGAGACCCCCTTTTCTTCCCCTTCCTCTCTCTCCCACCAGGGGGCGCGCTTAAATTTCCAGACGGAGACCAGAAGGAAGGTTTAGAAAGAAAAGAATACTTGCCCAGGGCAGCTTTGCCCTCCAAGAGGCTCCCTCCTGTCTCTAAGTCAATTCCACCCCTCCTTGGAGTCCCAGCTTCCACCCCTTCTCGGAGTCCTGGCGTTTACCGCGTGGTGGGTTTGCCTTGGGCCTTTCATGTCCCGGCTGCACACATCGTCTGTGAATTGTGGCTTGTTCGCTCCCGAGGATGAGTCCTAGACTCCCGGTCGCGTGGATCTACCCTCTAGTTTACTTGCTCGGGAAGAGAAACTGACTCGTTTTATTTAGTGCCTGTTTAGCGAGCCCAGAGTAACGTACATTTGTGCTGTTTTCAATTTTGTGCTATTGCAAACCACAAAAAAACTTACCAATTCACATTCATCATCAGCAGGAGACGTTTCCTTGTGCTCCTGCCAACTCAGGATATTACGTTTCTTTTTTCATTTTTGCCAGTCTGTTAAGTAAAATATCATATGCGGTTGTTTTAATTTGCATTTCTCTGATTACCAGTGATGAGCATTCAGTCTTTGAGCATTTATGGTGTGTTTGCTGGGTGCCTAGCACTAAGGGAACAGAATGGTCCTCACTCTCAAAAGAGCAGTTCTTGTGTAAGTTACCCCAAACCCTTCACAATTTTTTTCCGAGGCTTATTTAACTTCTTCTTAATGATTGGTAGGAACTTTTCCTAATTTTGTACGAATCTTTGTTACTGGATTCTGGTCATCTAATTCCCTGTTCCTGTGTAATTACTACTGTGTTGGAGTTTAATAGCCAATCTGTCCTCCTTGTTGGTCATTTACAAACATGTCAAAGCTATACTTGTACATTTCCAGTTGCCAGAATTTGAGACTGCATGCTTCAGGTTCTGGAAAAGCAAACCTCTTTGAACTGTGACCAGGTTGCCCTGAATCTAGAGACTCACTTGGGAAGAACTGGCATTAGTCTTTTCCTCCAGAGAGGACTGTGATCTGCACTTACTGTGCATTTATTCAGATATTGTGTCTGTGTTCACTTAAGTTTTTATTTTTCTTTCTTCTCATAGATCTTCTGTTCATGGTTAAATTTGTGCTAGAGATCCCTTCTAAAGGCTCCTTTTGCCTCCTCCGTTCACTGAAGGAGCACAGTTCAGGGCAATGGGCAGGTGCTGATAGAGCAGTGAGGCAAGGTGGGGTCCTGGTCCTGCAGGTGACCCTAGACCATGTCCGGTCCTTGTCTGCGAGGCCCTGAGGGTGCCCCACCGTGGCGCTGCATAGGCGTGCGCACACACACAGTACACACATGCTCCCCGCAGCCATACCCAAATAGGGTGGGGCAGTGGAGGAGTCTGCCCTTGCCTCCCCACCCTGCCTCGGCAGACTTGATCCCAGCCCCACCCGGTCATAAGTGGGAGAGGAGAGGATGACTGGCACCCTGGAAAGTAGGGAAGCACTATTAGGCACAGGACAGGGTGGAAAAATACCGGGAGCCATGGGCCCCGGCCCCCACCTCTCATTCCCACTCACCCGCAGAAACTCGATTCTCCCACTGGCTACCACAGATCCACTAGCCGCTGGTACTCACCTTAATCCCAGGACACGCAATAACCCCTTTCCCATGCAGGAACTACCCACTCAGAGGCTCCCTGCCACCGTAGGCTACCCCGAGATCAACAGCGCCACCCCTGAAGGGTTGCAGCAACTACAGCAGCCCCTGTCTGGGCATCCTGGTTGGGGGTGGCTTGGAGGGCAGCTAAGGGGAGTGACATTCAAAGCTGACAGCCTCATTTGTCCTTTCCCCAGCTTCAAGGCCCAGCCTCTACCCAGTCCCCCAGCCCACCTCTTCTGCCCAGGGCCCCTGAGTGTAGTAGACCGTGGAAAGTTTGGGACAGGGTCCTCATGGGACAAGGTATGTATCCCCAGGGTCCCAGTACTGAGACACGGGACATCAGAGTCTCTCTCCAAGAGGGGGAACCAGATCCAGGATCCCAATTCAGAGTGCTCCAGGCTCCAGCCTACCTGGGTAGAACCAACTTCCATTGCTGTCCCCAAACCTGCTACATCCCTCCAACCCCAGGGCCCAGTTCTTTACCTCAGGGGCTTTCAAACCAGAGACACGGATATCATCCCCTACACCTTCACACCAGCCATCACATCCTACCCAGCACTGTGTCTAGGATTTTGCCTCCCAAGCATTTTTAGACCCATTTTAGGGCAACTGAAGGAATCTCTCACTCCCTTGCTTCAACTCTTCCAGGGCCCTCAGGATGGAGTCCCTGGTCCTCCCCCTAAAATTTAAAACCTCCCTGACCTCAGGGCCCTCAGGATGGAGTTCCTGGTCCTCTGTCGAGCATTTTGAAGCCTCTCTGACCTCGGGGCCCTCAGGATGGAGTTCGTGGTCCTCCGCCTAGCATTTAAAGCCTCTCTGACCTCAGGCTGCTGACTGCTTTGTCTCACCTCCTCTGCTACAGCAGACAGTCCAGTCCAGCATCTTCTGAGCTAGTCCACCTTTTCATAGCCCTCAGACCTTCTCTCAAGCTCAAAATGCCTTTCTTGTTTTGTCATGGCTCAGCAAACTCGCACTCACTCTTCAAGGCCCAACTCTACTGCCCCCTCCCCTAGAGGAAAGCCTTGGCCCTCCCATCCCTACGGAGAGTTAATAGTTCCCATCCACATGCCCTCCATCCCATCCCTTCCAGTTTTGCCTGGTGCCTCTGGCACAACCTGTTATCTCCTTGGTCAGACCCTGACTCAGATTTACCTCTGTCCTGCCCAGACTCCACCCAGGCCAGGAACTTGGAGGTAAAGGGGTCCTGGAGAAGCACCCACCCTCACTCAGGCACACAAGCACACACATCCACTCACACATACACTGGGCTTCCCTTCCTCCCACTACCTTTCACCTCACCTCCCACATCAGGTTTCTGCAAGCATCCTGCCTAAGTTCTCAGTGGGAGGTAAGTCTTGGAGCAGGGGTCTTCAATCCCCAGGCCCCAGCCCATGGCCTGCTAGAAATTGGGTTGCACAGCAGGTAAGTGGCTTACAAGTGAGTGACGCTTCATCTGTATTTACAGCCGCTCACCATTGCTTGCATTACTGCCTGAGCTCCACCTCCTGTCAGATCAGCAGTGGCATTAGATTCTCAAATTCTAGGATTCTAGGAGTAGGAATTCTAGGATTCTAGGACTCCAGGAGTATGAACCCTATTGTGAGCTGTACAAGCAAGAGATCTAGGCTGTACATTCCTTATGAGAATCTAATGTCTGATGATCTGTCACTGTCTCCCATCACCCCCAGATGGGACCATCTAGTTGCAGGAAAACAAGCTCAGGGCTTCCTTCACCATACATTATGGTGAGTCGTGTAATTATTTTATTATATATTACAATGTAATAATAATAGGAATAAAGTGCACAATAAGTGTAATGTGCTTGAATCATCCTGAAACTATCCCTGCCCTCCATACATGGAAAAATTGTCTTCCACAAAACCAGTCCCTGGTGCCAAAAAGGTTGGGGACTGCTGTCCTGGAGGGCACCTGCTCCCTCCTGCATCCTCAACCTCAACTCACTCAGTCAACTAAATATTTATAAAAGGTCATGCACAGTGGCTCAGGCCTGTAATCCCAGCACTTTGGGAGGCCAAGGTGGGGGAATCACTTGAGGCCAGGAGTTCAAGACCAGCCTGGCCAACATGGCAAAACCCCATCTCTACTAAAAATACAAAAATTATCCCGGTGTGGTGGCATTCACCTGTAGTCCCAGCTGCTCAGGAGACTGAGGCAGGAGACTTGCTTGAACCCAGGAGGTGGAGGTTGCAGTGAGCCAAAATCATGCCACTGCACTCCACCCTGGGTGACAGAGCAAGACTCTGTCTCAAAAAACAAAAATACCTATTAAGAACCTTCTATATGCCAGGCATTGTGTTCTACACTAGGAACGCATTTTGAACGAACATGTAAAATAACTACAGGCTATAAGCAGTACTATCAAGGAAATAAAAAAGGCATTACAGTAGAGCATAAGGGATTCTCTTCATATATGGAATCTGGAAAGGCCTCACAGATAAGGTAACATTTGGGCAGAGGACTGAGGTGGTAAGATAGCATCTGTGCAGGTATATCCGGGGGGATTACATTCCAGGCAGAGGGCACAGGAAACCCTAAGGCCCTGGGCAAGCAGTGACTGAAGTGGTGTAAGTGAGGTAGCTGGAAGTAGTAGATGAGGTCATCAGAGAGATGTGAGAGAGAGAAGGCTGTGTTGGTCCTTGTGAGCCACTGTTCCATGGATAGCAGGACTATGCAAACCCAAAGACCGAGGGAGCTGAGAAGCCAAAGAAAGAGGTTAACAAATCCAGTTTCTCAGAGAGAAATATATAAGAGGGACTTATGAACAGAAGTGATGTCTCGGG